CTTGCTGTGAAGGTGAGTCATGTCCAGCCTCGGAGGGCTCCTCTCATGCCCGGGGTCTTTCACCTGCAGATGGTACTGCGCGGGGCAGAGACGGAGGGCTGCGTGATCGTGTCTGCTGCCAAGGCCCAGCTGCTGCAGTGCCAGCACCACCCTGCGTGGTACGGGGACACGCTGAAGCAGAAGACGTCCTGGACCTGTTTGCTTGATGGCATGCAGTACTTTGCCACGACGGAGAGCAGCCCCTCTGAGAGGGAACACGGGCAGCTCTGGCTGGAGGTAAGTGGCCAGGGCAGCTGGGATGGGCTCAGTGAGTGAGTGAGCTGCGTGGAGGGCAAGTAGGACTGCCAGTGAGAGCTGGGACAGCCACCGGTGCCTCCTGTGTCCCCAGGTGAAGAACATCGAAGAGCATCGGCAGCGGAGCCTGGACTCAGTGCAGGAGCTCATGGAGAGTGGGCAGGCGGTGGGCGGCATGGTCAGCACCACCACAGGTACTGTCCGTGGCACAGGCCGGTGAGCCTGCCCTGACCCACTTCCGTGGGACCCCAAAGCTGAGAGCTACAGCCTCTCCCCAGGAGCTGGCCTGCTGCGCCGAGCCCCATGCTCGGCGCTGCAGCCCCAGCACTCTGACTGTGGTGCCCCTGCCTGGCCCTAGACTGGAACCAGCCCTCGGAAGTACAGCAGACCCAGCAGGTGCAGAGGATCATCTCCCGCTGCAGCTGCCGCATGTACTATATCAGCTACAGCCACGACATCGACCCCGAGCTCGCCACGCAGATAAAACCCCCCGAAACTCCCGCCAACCAGGAGAAGGAGGATCTGCTGAAGAAGCAGGAAGGTGAGTACGTCCAGGCATCCCAGCGGGGAGAGCTCTGGGCTGATGCACAATTGCCTGGTGAGTCCAGGGATGGTCTGTCTTGTCCCTGCTGTGATCAGAGGGGTGTGTACAGGAGCAATGCCCAGCCACATGGCCGTGCAGCAGATGATGCTGGACATGCTGTGCCTCCTGGAGCTAGTGAACCACCTCAGCTTGTTCCCTGTCCCTCTCGATCGCTGTCTGCCTTGTTAATGCTGGTCCCCAGATGCATCATGAGAGGTGCTCTCCCTGGTTCTGTGGGGGTCCACATGTCCTTTGTGTGTCCCCACAGGAGCTGTGGACACGTTCACACTGATCCACCACGACCTGGAGATCTCTACCAATCCTGCACAGTATGCCATGATCCTTGACATAGTCAACAACCTGCTGCTGCACGTGGAGCCCAAACGCAAGGTACCCGCATGGCCCCGGGTGACTCGCCTGTGCCATGTCACTTGTCCGCGCCCAGGACACTCCTCACCTTCCCCTGTCCCCGTGTCCAGGAGCACAGCGAGAAGAAACAGCGAGTGCGCTTTCAGCTGGAAATCTCCAGCAACCCCGAGGAGCAGCGCAGCAGCATCCTGCACCTTCAGGAGGCCGTGAGGCAGCACGTCGCCCAGATCCGCCAGCTGGAGAAGCAGATGTACTCCAACGTGAAGGTGGGCTCGCAGCCCTGGCACGGCTTGGCTTCCCTGGGTCCCCACTCTAGAGTGGAGGGTGCTGAGAGCTCTCTGTCCTCTAGTCCCTGCAAGACGACAGCAAAAACGAGAGCCTGCTCGACCTCAACCACAGGCTGCAGCAGCAGCTGAGCCAGGAGAAGGCTGACCTGCAGCTGGAAAGCGAGGAGCTGAACATACTGATCAGGTAGGAGTCGAATTTGGCTTTGCCAAGGGGGCGAAGGAGGGAGTTGTACCCTCCTTGCTCCAGAGCTCCTGTGTCCCAGCACTACCTCTCGTGCTGCAGGTGCTTCAAGGACTTCCAACTGCAGCGAGCCAACAAGATGGAGCTGCGGAAGCAGCCGGAGGATGTGAGCGTGGCACGGCGCACCGAGTTCTACTTTGCCCAGGCGCGCTGGCGCCTCACCGAGGAGGATGGGCAGCTGGGCATAGCCGAGCTGGAGCTCCAGCGCTTCCTCTACAGCAAGGTACAGAGCCGGCCCAGGGCCTGGGCAGCCCACGGGCCGCGGCTGAGCATGTGGGACTGACATGTGTGGGTGCAGGTGAACAAGTCCGACGACACTGCAGAGCATCTGCTGGAGCTGGGCTGGGTCACGATGAACAACCTGCTGCCCAACGCTGTGTACAAGGCAAGTGGCAACGAGGGGGAGCAGCCCTATTCCCTGGGCTGCCTGGCCTGGAGCGGGGTGCAGTTGGGAGGTGCCAGGCATGGCTGGGTCTGTCCTCACCCCTCTGACTTGCGTGGTCCCCAGGGTGTCCTGGCATGGCCTATCTGCAGGCCACCTGTTTTGTACCTGGGGTTCCTTGAAGCCATGGGACCCTTGCTTGTTCTGGCCAGGGAGGCAGCACAGGCACAACTGGTTGGTCTGTCCTCAACCCAGGCCATCTGTCCTGCATCCTGGGGACCTCTAGTTCCCTTGGGTGCCCTGGGAGTGGGAGGCCCCGGCCTGGTGGGCTGGCCTGTCCTCACCCCAGCCACCCACCCTGTTCCCTGCAGGTGGTGCTGCGTCCCCAGAGCTCCTGCCAGTCTGGCCGGCAGCTGGCACTGAGGATCTTCAGCAAGGTCCGGCCACCCGTGGGAGGCATCTCCATCAAGGAGCACTTTGAGGTGCCGAGACTGGGCCAGGAGGTGACGTGCACCTGCAGGGCATGGGCACCATCTGTCTGGCTCTGACACACTGCTCTCTTTACAGGTGAACGTGGTGCCCCTCACCATCCAGCTCACCCACCAGTTCTTCCACAGGATGATGGGTTTCTTCTTCCCTGGCCGCAACGTGGAGGAGGAGGAGGTGGGGGATGAGGAAGACAAGTCCAAGCTGGTGACAACAGGTGAGGAGGAGTGGGAGGCAGATGGCACAGTTGAGTCCTTCTCTTTCCTGGCACCAGTGATGTTCCTAAGCTACTTCAGTTTTATCTAGCACATGCTTATGGCAGCTGACAGTGTGTCATGCATTGAGTAAAAGGGACTTCTGAGCTCCTCTGTGAGCAGGAGAGCCCCAAAGCTGCGAAGGATCTGGGCTGTAGCTGATCCCAGACAGAACACCAGCCGTCGTGTCCTTCTCGCCTGGCTCCTGGGGATTTGGACACATAGGGACTGGATGGGCCTAGCCTGGTGCAGTATGATCTGCTCTGGGGTCTCCAGCTGAGGCCGTGCAGGCAAACTGGGAAGGGGCCGGTGACATGAGGTGCCCTTGGTGCCGGGATTCCCCGTGCCCAGGAGCCCCTCGCAGCTCTGTGCTTGTCCCAGGGATCCCCGTGGTGAAGCCACGGCAGCTCATCGTGGCCGATGACTCGCTGGGCCCAGGCAAGGGGGTCGCTCAGGGACTGAATCGGACGTCGGGGGTCAGAAGATCTTTCCGAAAAGCACCCGAGGTACCTGCTGCTGCCCTGAGCCCCTGCTTGCGCAAGTTTGGGATTGGGAAAGTTTGGGATATCTGCTGTGGAGCCCCCCTCCATGGCTCCCTGGTGACACAGGGCCATGGCCCCATGCTCTTGGCTCTGTCTCCAGCATCCCGTGGATGACATCGACAAGATGAAGGAGCGTGCCGCCATGAACAACTCCTTCATCTACATCAAGATCCCACAGGTGCCGCTCTGCGTCAGCTACAAGGTGAGGGACCTGCCGGCCACGGGATGTGGGTGCTGGGTGGCCAGGGACGACTGCCTGGGGGACTGGCCCACACTGGGTGACTCCCCTGTCCTCGGTCCAGGGCGAGAAGAACAGTGTGGACTGGGGAGACCTAAACCTAGTGCTGCCGTGTCTGGAGTACCACAACAACACGTGGACGTGGCTGGACTTTGCCATGGCGGTGAAGAGGGACAGCCGCAAGGCCTTGGTGGCACAGGTACGGGGGACACTGCTGCCTTGCTCTTCTCCTCTCTGGGGCCACCAGGGTCCCCGAGCTCTCAGCCTTCTCCCTGCTCACAGGGAGGGAGCTGGGGCTGCTCCGAGCAGCCCCGTGCGGGTGGCTCCATCTCCAGCATGGGAAGCAGCCAGGCTGGCTCTGCAGCCCAGGCCCTCGCCCACGCCAAGGGTGCAGGGGCTGGGTGCAGCCACCGGGCGCTGAGGCCACCTCTTGGTGCCAGGTGATCAAGGAGAAGCTCCGCCTGAAGCCGGCGGCCGGCGCGGAGGCCCGGGGCAAGCTGGAGAGCAAATCGGACGGGACCATCCAGCAGCAGGAGGAGGACGAGAAGGCCCGGCTGCTCATCGGGCTGAGCGTGGGCGAGAAGAACCCCAGCAAGAAGTCCATCTTCGGCAGGCGCAAATGAGGGCAGCACCCGGCAGGCCGGGAAGGGACTGGGCAGCCCTGCGGCAGGGGCACCGTGAGCCGCTCCGCGTGGCAAAGCCCGAGGTCAGGGCTAGCCCTGCGCCAGCCCGCGGTGGCCCGTGGGGCAGGGGGTGGCAGCCCTGGGGCCAGGGGCCGTGGCACTGCTCCTGGGGGGCTCAGCCCCCAGTGCCGAGGGGTCCCGCGAGCTTCCCCTCTCCCTGCTGTGCGAGTGCTGGGCCCTGGGCCCGGTGAAGCAGCAGGATCGCTCCAGGCTGGTGGCCGGCTGGGAGAAAGGGGAATGGGAGAGAATTTAAATAAAGAGTTTTTAATTTGGAATAGCCTCTATCCTCTTCATCAGCACTCACCTTGCCACCCACACTGCAGCGATGGGGGCAGCAACCATCCTTCTCTTGCCCCGCAGCGTGGGCAGCACCTGTGTTGAGGGGCTTTAGTGCTGCCTTTCCCTCCCCACGGTACAGAGCTCGGGCTCGGGGCCCCTTCGCAGCAGCACTGTCACCCTGGACTCAGTGTTTGCCTTGCACCGCTCCAGCCCCATAGCTACACCGGGGCTTGGGGGGGCTCCTCTTACTGGTCCCCAAGCTGGGGACCTTGGCTGGGGGTCTGGGGGGGAAACAGAGCTAGGGGTGGTCAAAGGGAATGCTGGAGGGGGGGTCCTGCTGTGGGCAAGGGGGATTGGAACCCATGGGGCTGCGCTGCTGTGGTATCTATGTGTGGGGGAGCTCCTGGGACAGGTACCTGGCGTGGGGGGTGTTGCTGT